TTTTGTGTTTTCGCTCCAAATATAACAGGACCCCTTTTTTTGAAATATATTTTTTAACGTACTACGTATGGAAGAAATTAATAAAGATTTGGATTTTGTTAAGTTGAAAGATTATAAAACACTTTTTTAATTGAAAGTTTCTAAAGAATCTTTAACACTATCCGTGACGGCCTATTTTTATTTTGTCAGTGATGGGGGGGGGGGCTTTCTGCCCCCTCCTTTTTTTTAATATCTAATATTTTTACATGCTGCTAGTGAGAGAACCTGTTGTTAAAATATTTGAATCCCACCACTGAATATAACCCCTGATTTTGGGCATTTTATATCCAGACACTTAGTGGTGACAAATTAAAAAGAAAAAAATAACCAATTGTTGTCGAAAGCAAACCTCCTTTCAATAGTAGTTAAGAGTCAAAAAGATTCGAGAACTTTTTTTCTATTCAGATAAACCTTATTTCATTATGGGTTCATTAAAAAATACGGAAAATGGGCATTGCTGTAGCAAGGTAAACACCATTTCATTTAGGCTAAACAATATAACAGACGTTAAGGGGCTCCGTATGTCTTAAATTACATAGGACACTGAACCACATTTTTCGTCAAGGGGTGCGGGTTACATCTGAGGTAGAGAGCTCTGGATTTCGGAGATAAGAGAGCCGGCTTCGAATACATGTAATATCACGAAATATTCCATGCACTTTAAGCTGTGGGTGTATTATAAAAGTGCCAATCAATCCCTTAGTATGGATGGTTGAGTGCTGCTGATTGGCTGAAGCCGGCTGGTTAGCAGTTCAAAATGAAAAGGTGGCGGTAGTAGCTTTTACAATTTTCCTGGAGTCAAAATTTTATACTTATCTGTCTGGTAATTGACATAGCAGTATGATCAAATTGGCATTTATTACATATGATTAAAGCATGTTAAATAGCTAAAATTCATGATTTACGAGCGTGATGTATGTACATATTACCCACCGGTGTCGATATGGTTCATCCCCCGCGGGAAATGTTTTGTAGGCTAGTACCATATCTTTAAAAAATTATAGCCTGGTCGCTCTTGGGAGGTATGTACTTTTCCGTCAGGTATGATCAGTTCATTAAATAAATTGCCTTACAGAAACGATGGGATTAAAGGGCATTTTTTATGCATTTCTTTTCTTATGATATTTCCAGTTTCCACTATATACATTTTTTACGTAAACATATTTCAATGTCTTATTTTTTCGTTTCAAAGTATGTTTTCGGTAAAAAAAAAAAGGCTACTCTTGGTGACATGGGCGCGAGCATAAATTTTTCCAGGAGAGCAAAATGAAATTGTGAAGTGAATAAAAAAATTCATATACGTATGCTGAATGAATAACGTTTCTCATTCTGCAGCTTGGTGATAGTGCAAGATATATAAAAGGAAGTTCATGAATACACTTAAACATCTTGGTTATTTCATATTGACGATGGTGGTAAACAGTTTCAATATGATTTTAATGTAATGTTAACTGAATAATTGTGCATGCTTCATAAAAATGAATCTGCAATTCTGATATATATAAAACATACGATTCGAAAAAAAATAAAGAATGTAAAATGTATTAAACAATTGAATTTAAAGGCAACAAAATGTGTGTGTTTGAAATAAAAGTACGACTCTGAGAGTAATATAATTCCTCTAAATATTTTATTATTTTGTCGGTGACTAGCATGTCCTTAAATCTTTATACAAGACAAAAACGGTAAAGTGTAACCAGTGCTAGTATACAAATAGACAGCCAAAGATAACAGCTTGAACTAAAACAGGAAATAAGAATGGTTGACAACTTGTTGTATATTTTTTATAACACTTTGAATAATCAAAGAACAAATATTGTTTCAATTACCGAGATAGAAAAACTGTGAATTATAAAACATTTCGAACTGTTTCTCAAGATGATAAACAGAAGTGTTGTCAAGGTAGCGCCATCTGTACAAAATATTAAGAAGTAGTGCTTGTTTAATTTTACATTGTAGAAGCTTACATGTAACACCATTTTACAACAGATAACATTAAACGTGCCATACAAATATACAGGGTTGAGTACGTTATATTAATTGAATATGCAAATCAGGAAGTCACGTGACAATCACAGCCGATATAAGCTGGCATTGGATCGGAATGTGTCAAAGATACATTTTGACATTGTTTGGGGGTTGCGTAGGTAGTGTGATACCACCGAAACTTTATCGTCGTTTGGGAAGAGTACATCCCCCTCCTACGCAAAATATTCGCACATTCATATCACAAAACATGTTCAGATTGGAGATTTAAGATTTCAAAGAAGGGATGTATACCTTGTATTAAATGATGTTTGAAAACAAAGGAATATAGATCCAAACGGAGTATCAGGACCATCCAAAAAGAGACCAGCTAAAATTTAATATCGTGATCAGCTTCACAGAGGAAATTTTTTAAGCGATTATTCTATATATTTCCACTGAAAAGGGGTCCCAGTATTAATCATCTAATGAGATCCTCATCTCTTAATACTCAAAGGACCTGCAATTAGTCTACCCCAGTCATCTTGTAACAGGCGAGGATCCACGAACACCAAGGTCAGTAGCAAAAACCGCCCACGTACCACAGGCAACAGTACACAACATAGTCTGGAAAAGTGACACAAATCACGCGTATACAATCAACCATCGAGAACCTCAAACAGCTGGAGAACGAAACGGGTATTCATGCTATTCTATAAGAGACACATTGGTCAATTCGCCCAGGACCCAGCGTGCACGAATTTCTATGTGATTGGAGTGTTGAAACAGGTTCATCGTCGTTCTCGTACACTTAGATGCAGTGAGGTATGGTGTGTCTTAAGCATGACAACCTTACAAGTGAGCCTTTTATAATGGAAAATATGCTGCAGTGACATTGTCAAGATATGCATGGTTGTTAGTTTGAGCAGTGGTGCACATACTTTTAAGGTGCCCCTCCCCATAAACATGCTTTTTGTTGTGCCACCCCGGACCCCTTGTTACCTATTAAGAGCTTGATCGGACATAGCGAAATGGACTATAACGACGTGGTCAGGCTCCAAAATCGTTTTAATATAATGTACTCAACCTCTGTATGCATTCAGGGTTGTTTTAAAATTCACTGTTTTTTCCAAATTTGTCTCTATATATATACTATATAGATTTCTCTCTCAATTTTGGCCTACATTTAGAGAACTGCAACAATATCTATCTTCAACAAAGAATACTTTTTATAAAGCGTGTATTCTACAGTTAGTTAACTCCATATTAAACTAACACATTGTAACTAACAGAAATTACAGCTTGTACAGACAGGTCATTCAAGCTATTCATGGCTATGGACATTCAGTACTTCTACACTTAACAAAATATTCTCTTATTCAACAAAGTTCACTGCGTTGCAAAATAAATACTCATTGTCAATTTGACCTTTAGGCATCATCAGCTATATCTATGTATTTAACAAGTACAAACTACGTACCCACAGACATTACGTAGTTTCTGGTGATATAAAGCTTTTTTTGTGAAGTGAAAATTACTAATGTTATCTTTTTTATTTGACAAATATTACTTAAAGCTCTAGAAAAAAACAACAACAGGTGACTGTAGTTATTTACGTCACTCTTCTTTACCAGTAGGTTTATAACACAAAAGGAGCCGTTTTTCAATTGTATCAGAGGGAGTTAATTCACAACAATTATTTTTCTTTCTAGTGATATCGGAAAGATAAAATGAGATAACATCTACAAAAAATCTGACTACAGAGCTAAGGATTTAGTTCTAAGTTTCCAGAATTCCTTAAAACTAACTAGAGTCTACGGAAGAACAGATTACTAGACGAGATGCAAGTACAGAAAAGCAAAGCTTAAGAGTACTGATCTGCTACACAGTCACAGCCAGAGAGAAGGGAATCTCCGTAAATTACAGCAACGTCGCATAGTCTTTCTAAACGTGTCTGATCCATCATTTAATAATCAAATGAGCAAGAAAGATGACTCACTATGGCAACAGGTATGAGATGAGCCTAAGTATTGCCACAGTTAAAGATTTTTTTTTTTGGTTCATCTAGTACTGGATATCGTTGTCTTTTCAAGGCTCTTCTCAAGCTATTGAAAGAAGCGTTCTGGTGGTTACATCCCTTGTTACCGACAGAAGAAAGAGAAGTCAGTATGTACGATATGTTGGTGTAACGTAAACTGACATTCAAGGTTTAACATCAACTTAATAACGTGATTTCTTTATGTACAAGCTAATAGTCAACTATCTATACAAGAAATAACTATCTCTAACAACGCCATCAATGTACACTTCTTTGTGATAAGGCTCTTATGGTTTCTTCATTATCAAGGCAACATTACCTGGTAAGTATTCTGAAATGAGGTTTACCTTACACCACACTTTAGATTAAGCCCTTTATCAAGTTTTACCAGGTTCAAAACTTTACTCTCTTAAATAGAATACCTTCTTAAATATATACATACATCTACAAAATCTCCAACATACCAGCTCCAGAGACATATTCACATACACAAATAAAATCAGTTAGGGTTATAGAGTTTCTTAAAAATAATAGTAATAATCGGCAGCTTCATAATTTGGTTACAAAATAAAACCTTCTATTTTCAACATTTTCAGGTCCTACTGATATTGGTTTTTTTTACACACAAATCAAAAGTTACATGAATCACAGTAGTATAACTTGTAAATAAAAATGTTAACTTAGATTAAATCATGCACCAAAGTTGAAATTGAAGGTGCATTTATTCAAGTACTTTTTCTCATTGAATTTACATATATTCAGATTTTCTCAACTATAAAATTTGTTGTATCACAAATGAGAAATTTCTAATAAGTTGTTTCTTTGAGTGACTCAAGTCCAGTAACCTCCTAGTATTTTTTTTTTACATAATGACTGGTGTCATTCTGACCATAATAACCTATTCAAGTGCAGGAATGTGAAGGTAATCATAAGTCATCACAGCAAGAAATGAGAACAACTCACATCCTCAAACCAGATTATATATTCAAAACATAAGATTCTGATCCACACTGAAAAGAAGGTCACAAGAATGTGATAGTAAAAAATCTCTTAATACAGCCAGAACAGTAAAGTTAGAAACAAAACTATAGCAACTACACATTCCCAATAGAATACAGCAGCAAAATAACTGAACAAATACTCAATTTTCTCTGTAGCTAGACATTAAGGGGCAAGAGACTTTAACAACAAAACTTATCAGTACCAAATAAATTATTACTTCATTTCTATCAAATGTTGATTTTAAAAAAGTTCTGGAAGTTACTAAAATAGCTTTAGAAGAGTGTTAACTTAAACTTAGAAACGCTTTTTTAAAATAGAAGACAACTTTTAATTCAGAAAAATCTAACCACTGACAACAATAACATACAACTAAAACACCGAAATAAAAATTAACGTTCTCACCTAACATTTTTTAAATAAAACTATCAGGTAAAGAATTTCAAGTCCATTTAAAAAAATCCTACAACCTTTTCTAGAACTGAGCATGAGAAGTTACAAATAGTACATATTTTATTAGAGGAAATTTTCAATAAGAAACAGAGGAAGCATTTGTGGTTCATTCAAAATTTCAGTATGTGTTCATGATATGAAGAACACACAGTTACCCATAAGCAGCCTGGATGTTCCACACAGGTTCATGGTAAAATTCTTACTTATTGTACACGAAACTAAGCTGACATCACACTTGTATGAACCAAACACAACAATTCAACAATATAAATGTTTTTTACACTTGAAAAAACAGTCTAAGCAGCAAGTCTGTTTCGTTCATGAAACTTAGTAGTTTCAAAACTGTGTGAGAGTTTTATCAGATGAAGAATAGTTAAGATCATAAAAATGTATTGCTTGTGGCAACAGGGATGTCAATGTAATCAAGGTAAGTTGGTTAGGGTGTCATCAGTGAAAAAAAAGTTTGGAAAACACAGCAGTAAACCATCTAGAGCTTGTACAAGATGCCTGCTCCCTACCACAAACAAACACAAGGTCTATACAGTAATTCTGTTACTTTCAGTGAACTATCCAGGGACAGTACAATATGCCTGCTCCCTACCACAAACAAACACAAGGTCTATACAGTAATTCTGTTACTTTCAGTGATCTCTCCAGGGACGGTACAAGATGCCTGCTCCCTACCACAAACAAACACAAGGTCTATACAGTAAATCTCTTCCTTTCAGTGATCTATCCAGGGCCTGTACAAGATGCCTGCTCCCTACCACAAACAAACACAAGGTCTATACAGTAAATCTGTTACTTTCAGTGAACTATCCAGGGACAGTACAAGATGCCTGCTCCCTACCACAAACAAACACAAGGTCTATACAGTAAATCTGTTCCTTTTAGTGATCTCTCCAGGGACGGTACAATATGCCTGCTCCCTACCACAAACAAACACAAGGTCTATACAGTAAATCTGTTACTTTCAGTGATCTCTTCAGGGATGGTACAAGATGCCTGCTCCCTACCACAAACAAACACAAGGTCTATACAGTAAATCTGTTCCTTACAGTGATCTATCCAGGGCCTGTACAAGATGGCTGCTCCCTACCACAAACAAACACATGGTCTATACAGTAATTCTGTTACTTTCAGTGATCTCTCCAGGGATGGTACAAGATGCCTGCTCCTTATTATAAACAAACACAATGTCTATACAGTAAATCTGTTTCTTTCAGTAAACTACCCAGGGCCTGTACAAAGAGACTACTCCTTAACATAAACAATCACAATGTCTATACAGTAAATCTGCTCCTTTCAGTAAACTGCCCAGGACCTGTAGAAGGAGACTACTCCTTACAATAAACAACACAAAGTCTATACAAGATGCTTACTTCTTACCATAAACAAACACAAGGTCTATACAGTAAATCTGTTCCTTTCAGTGAACTATCCAGGGCCAGTGCAAGAAGCCTGTTCTTTATTATAAACAAACAAATTAGTTCCTTTTAAGAAATTACCTACAGCCTGTGTCAGAATTCTGCTTCTCACAGTAAAAAAATACAGGGTGTATAATGCTAGTCTGTTCCTCTATAGAGAAAGAATGTTCCTTACATTTAACAAAGACATGGCTATACAAAAAGACTGTTTCTTAATGTAAAGAAACAAAAAATCTTAAAAAAAAAGACTTTGGCTTACAGTAAAAGAGTTTGTATGAGGAACTTTTCCCTTAAAGCAAATAAGCTTTTTAACAGTGGATCTGTTACCTACACTGATATGTACATGTTAATAAAGATTTGTGTATAGTACACTTTACAAATGGTTAGTTATTTAAGTGATATATTACGATTAAAGTTATTATTTTTATCTCACAACTGTCTAGCTTTTTTCATAAACATCAGAAGCCAATCTGATTTAACGATGCCATCTGCCAAGTTTTCATTCACTGGAAGTCTGATATTTTAAATTTCTTATATGAATACTTCATGTTTTAAATAGTGAATAAAAGATGTTGGAAGAAAGTACTAACTAGTATTTTACCAAATTCCAAAATTTCTTAAAGTTTTTTCACATATAAGATTATAGTTACACTAAGTCTATTAGCATACAATCATTTAAAATGTAATGCTCACTGAAGTGAATAATCAGAGCACCAGCTACTTGTGTTAAAATATCCAATTCCATTTTTTATCTTCTAGTTTTAACTGTTTTTTTTTCCTCTAATATAGAACTTAATAACCTGTAGCACTTCCTGAACTTAAATATTTTATCAACTAATTCTTTTTTCTTTAAGAGTATAAAAGATCGAAATTTTTAAACTATTATACAGTTCTATTTAATAATTGTGCCACGAATTTTGTTTCTTAACTACCTACAGCTCAGAAATAAGCAAAATATGAAAACCTTTAACACTATTTTTAATTAAAATAATACAAACAATAAAATTTCACTCATGATACAAACCAAATGGACTTTTTAAAAATATATCAATGCAAAGTTCAAGGAAAATTTCTAAAAACCCTACTTCTTAAATTTAAAACCATTTCAATTGTTCACTATCACAAACAGAAAGTTATGACATAATTAAAAGGGGAAAAACTTTTTACATCAAAATAAATACTTTTAACAGTTGTAAACTAGAAAAAAATTCAGTTTATTTAAAAAAAAAATCTGAACAGTTTTATAGAAGGGGGGGAGGGAGTAACTCTAACAAATACTATAAACTGGCTCACCCAAATAATCTAAATACTTCCCTGCTTCAAACTATAACAGCTTAGTTTTAAATTTGTTGAGTGATGAGTTTGACACCCAGTCTCCCAATGCTATCTTCTGTGATGAAGCTAAACTACCTAGCTTCTAGGTGCAAACTTGATTTGATAAAGAGCTTCCTGCAATGGGAATGACACAAAACACCAAACTACTAGCACATGTACCTGTCTCCAGATGAAGGTATCAATAAAGATGGTTATGTGCTGACTAACAGTAACCTAAGCATGATCATTCACACTCTCTTCAAAAACATGCTTCTGAAATCTGTTCACGTAAATTCTGATGTTGTGATCATCACCAATGCAGTAAGAGTAGGCCCAATAAGGTACTGACTATTGGAACTTCACCGGTGAAGACCCACAAGAAGCTGCAAAGGAAGAACCACCAGTAAATATTGTAGTGTCCATTGCACAAGAATTGGTGTTTGAAGGTCCACCTGAATTAGCTCGCGTGTGTAAGGCCGTTATAGATGATGATATAAAGGGAGTAGATACCGACTGGGAAACAATGCAAGGGGATGCAGATCTTTTATTTCCTTCTTTAATAAATAAATCATTTTCTGGAGCTCCAGACTCTGCTGAATTCTCAATCACAAGATGCTTGCTTCTGTCTATGTTAACCTCTTTTCCAGTGTCATTCTGCTCATCAGTTTCTCTCTTCTCATCTTCCGAGGAGTACAGTTTCAATGCAACAGCTAAGTCCTGAAGCACTTCAGTCTCTTTTTCATCTACGAGACAGAATTGTTTGTTGAAGATCATAAAGTGAGAGAAGAGTGTGTTGAGATGAGCATGCAGATTAAGAAGAACTACTTCCTTGATATGAGCCTGGTAAACATGGGCTATCACGTGGAACAATAACCTGTGAATTTTCTTCACTATGGATTCAAAAGATGTTGGGAACTCCTTATCTGAAAGAGAACTTATGATTTAATACACAACAAAATAAACAACTATGAAGTTCAACAATGAAAATACACTTAATTAGATACTGAAACTAAGATTCAGAACAAAGTTTTTTTATGGTGCAAAAAAAAAGTTATTTTTGTTGTATTTTTGATAATATTTCTGTCAATGTTGGAATAAGAGTGATATAAAATTATGTGAGCATTATCACAAAACATTTAGTATTTTAGTTAAAGCTTACAATTTCAAGAGGAGTGGTATTGCTGAATTCTGTTTATTCAATACAGGCTTCAGATTAACAGTTACCAAACTTGTGATTGTTCCTCATCATCAGTTCATAAAGTTCTAACTGGTAATACATATACTGTATTGCATTATACAATATGTCATGTGATACTTGGTGGTTTTTGGACTTTCAGAGCCACCTAGTAGTAGAACCTATGTATTCTTCAACATATGAAGGGTAAACAAATCTGTAGATAAGACTTTGAAATTAAATTTTGTATTCTAACAATAGACTTAAAAATACATTTAAACCTGTGGATAAACTCTTCCTAATGCTAAATGTAACTTTTTATACGATGGTTTTTCAAGTTATTCTATAGTTTTTGAATTAGATTGCATCACATATAATTAATCCCTACTTATAAATTGTACGTAATCTAAGTTTTTGAATTGACAACTTAGAGTATTTGCTAGCCATAAAGAATAATGTTTCTAAATTTGATTCCAATAATTTAAAGAATTTAGTTGAAAAGAAATGTATTAAATGTGAACCCAGTGTGTAGAACCAAACAATAATATAAGTTAAATCAACTTCATTCTACATAACATGGAAATTTATTATAAATAAGCCTACTGATGTCATATCTTACTAATCACAAACATAATGAAGTGGGAAAAAAGGTATTAATACGTGGAATATATTTTGGGCTTGTTCATAACACATTGTAATTTAACAGTCATTTTTCATCACCCTTTGAATCTTGTTAAGACGTTTAAAGGACTGATGCATAACTCTCTGTACTAAAGAAAAACTTGATATAATAAGAATACATTTACATTTGTCTTCATTTTACAACTATAACTCTTGAAAAAAATTCTACAAGATATTCCAAGAAGAACATAAATCTCTTGTTAAACTTGGGTAAGATACTGCTTTAATTATAGCAAAACCAATTAAAAGAAACATGATAGTAATATGGAATAAAAAAAAAGACTATGTTGAGAAAATCAACAATATATTAAGTAATTGTAGAATATTGATCCACCATCTACAAGGGAAACAAACTAGCACAATATATATTGCAGTTAAAGAAAGGCAAAATTATAACCAAGAAAGTGTACTAATAATTTAGACCAACTGGTTCTCATGCTGAAATAATATACGGTTCCTAAAATTCACAAACAGAGCATTCCTGTAAGAGAAACATTTAAATATTGGAACTTACATAATAAACTATCCAGTATTTTGGTTAATTTTTTCATTAGTATATGAATAATGAATTGACCATAAAAGATAGTTTAGAAATTTAAACTTCAGTATAGAATATGAAGATTAATAACTATTTATATAGCCAACCTTGATGTGAAGTGTCACTACACTAACAACCTACCACAAAAGACTACTGATTTATGCTCAGAACAGATGGTTTCGTCAGGTATAGTAAATAGCTTTTCTAAGATGTATTCTAATTTGATATAAGAAATCACATTTTGTGTTTAATGGAACATTTTATGATCAGATTGATAGTGTTAGTACAGGATCTATGCTTACACCTGTTATGGTTAATTCCTTCTGAGGTGTTATGAAGTACAGTGGTTAAACAAATGCCCAACAGAATTTAAATTTAAGTCACTTTAAGGTACGTTGATGATCCATCTACTATTTTTCAATCACAGAGCCATAGTGACTTTTTCCAACATTTAAGTATTAAACATTCAAATATATAATTTACTGTTGAATGTGAACAAAAGTCTAGCTTGCCATTCTTGAATACTTTTGCTAATAATTTACAAGGTACTTTAGAAATAGATGTGTATTGTAAGCCAACTTTTTCAAGTAAATTTAGTTAAAATACTTAATAATTATGCTAACAGGATTATAAGTAATTATCATAACTTGCATTATGAAGTATTATGAAGAGTTTTTGAAATGGAAGGAGTTTCATATGACTTTCATTTGAGTTTATAAATACTGACCAGTCTTGAAGTCTCATGTACCAAAGAAACCAGAAGTAATAGCATTACCATATATAGAACAATAGTAATTTATATTAAAAAATAAATTAACTTTAATATAAAGCAGAGCCACACACTAAAACTAAATGTATTTTAAGTTTAATGTTAGAATTAAAAAAATAAATTCAAAGATGTATCACCTAAAAATACAAAGCCCTTTTTTTAAATCTAAAAATATATACCTTTAAAAAAGATGTTCATTTCAAATATGTAATCCCTAAATATAAGAAGTAATTTGTTATCTACAAATCTGTGCAACCTACTCGTATGGAGGAATAAGAAGACTAATACTAGGTGACTCTCAATCTGTATAAGATACAAATCTGTGCACCCTACTCGTATGGAGGAATAAGAAGGCTAATACTAGGTGACTCTCAATCTGTATAAGATACAAATCTGTGCACCCTACTCGTATGGAGGAATAAGAAGACTAATACTAGGTGACTCTCAATCTGTATAAGATACATATCTGTGCACCCTACTCATATGGAGGAATAAGAAGACTAATACTAGGTGACTCTCAATCTGTATAAGATACAAATCTGTGCACCCTACTCGTATGGAGGAATAAGAAGACTAATACTAGGTGACTCTCAATCTGTATAAGATACAAATCTGTGCACCCTACTCGCATGGAGGAATAAGAAGACTAATACTAGGTGACTCTCAGTCTGTATAAGAGAGCTTATTTCTGGGAAGTTCAGAAGCCATCAAGTATTGTACAAGATATTTTATAATGCAATATACTTATCACCAGTTAGAACTTTAAAATAATGAGTTGAACTGGTGATGAGAAGCAGTTTTGAATTTCAAACAGTTTAATATTTGTTAATCTGAAGTCTGGATATGATTAACAAAATTCAATAATAATACTGCTCTTAAAAGCTTTAAGTAAAATTTTATTTTTACTATATTTCAAGTTTAGTACTTTATATAAATTTCAAACTATCACTAAATGAGTTTGGTTATATTCTTTGTCCAAGGTTAATGATAAGTTCTGGAAATTCACCAAACCCATTTAACCCTAAAATTAACTACAGGGTGCATATGTGCTTTTTAAACACATTTTATACATCAAATTGCTTGTGGGTCCATGACTTTGTCCATACATAATGATGTACGAGTCACAATACAATTATTTTCACTAACTGCTGGTGAAGAAAAAGTAGATCATGACAAATACATTATTTAAACATGGAAGTCAATGCTTGGAAGAAGCTGGGAGTTAAAAATTATATCAAATTTATTATTAGTGAAAGATGTTGCAGCTGTGTGGTCAGCTTATTGTGGACTAACCACAATTTTTTGGTAATAAAGACAGCAATTGAAGAAATGCAAAGGAGGAAAAAATTTTTTAAATGATGTTGGAACTTAAAGCTGTTGAGAGGAGACTTTGGAGAAAGTTTAGCAAAGAGTTGGAGAAGGAGTAAATGGAGTAAAAATGCAATAGAAGAAACTGTCACAGAGCATTAGTTTAGATCAAAGGATGTGATAACAGCAAGTGTGATGAATAATACCAGATAAGCGAGGAGAAAAGCAGTAATTAAAAAAAAGGAATAATAGAAGAGATGGAGGAACACCACAAATGGAAGTGAATCAACAATGGGACAGGTTACCAAATGTATAGAATGTTTAACAACAAATCCAAACATGAGTGGTGGTCCAAACAGAATGAAAAACTAGAAAAAATGGAATGGTGGATCATGAGCAAGATTAGACGAAAAAGTAGTAACAGCTCAATCATCAATAATGAGTATCAACTTCTAACAGAAATAAGGAATGTGAGAGAAAGGTAAGAAGAGTACATAAAAAGATGTACGAGAAGGAGAAAAAAAAATTGAGACAGAAGGCATAAAAGATGTTGATGACCTCAGTTCTTATATTTTTGAAAATAGGTAACAACAATAATGAAAGGTTTGAAGATCAACAAAGTGAAAGGTGTGGATGGAATGACAACACAGACAATAAAACTCTGGGAGAAGAAGGAAAAAAAGAACTGATGGATTTGTGCAAGAAGATGTATGAAAAAAAGAAATGGCCTGAAGACTTCAGAAAATTGGTAATGATTCCTTTGGAAAAGAAAGCAAATATAAGGAAATGTGAAGACTGCTGAACAATAAACTTGATTTTACAGGCATCAAAGATCATGCAGAAGATTCTAACTTGAAGAATGGAAGGATTATATTGACAAAGAATAAGTTTGGCTTCCAAATAAGTTGTGGAAAGAGAGGGGCAACTGAAAAGATGAGATTACTAAATGAAAGAAGACTGGATTATGATCTTTACATATGCTTTGTAGATTACAGTAAACATTTGATTGAATACACTGAAAGAAGTTATTTCTAGTACTCAACAACACTGAAGAGAACTGAACAGACAGACAGTTAATCAAAGCATTGTATACGAGTCAAACAGTAGTGAGAGTGGCAAATAGTGTTAGAACCTGGAATAGTAAGAAAAGCAAGGAAACATGGTGCTCGTTACCTCTGATACTTTTCTATGTCTAGGAAGAGCCAATGGTTATAGAAGCATGGGTGGGACTGGAAAGAGATCTGTTGTTAGAGAGTGAAGACACGCAGATTAGAAAACTCTAGTGGCTAGAGTTCTGAAGAAAGTTTGAATGAGATGACAAAAAATATTTGAATGAAAATTAATGTTTAGAAAATGAACATATCCCAAAGGAGTGACAATGAGTAGAATATCACACCAAATGGATAACAACTGGAGCAAGTGAGTCAGTTTAGGTATTTAAGAAGTGAAATGATGTTTAGCAAAAAGAAAAAGATAGTTAACCAAGTGGATGAATAGAAAATTTTATAAAATTTGCCATGACTGTTTTGTGAGTGTGGTATGGAGCAAAGACACTGACACCAAGAAATAAGACATCAAAATATTAAAGACCTTTGAAACATGAGTTTAGGGACAAATGGAAAAATAATCAGCATGAATGAATGGGATAAGTAACGAGTAATGCTCGAGATGGTAAAGGACAATAGAAACTGATAAGTATAACATGGAAAAGGCAAAAGATAAGGGTGGAACACATTGTTTTAAGACATACTTTCATGAAAGAGGTCCTAGCAGGAAAGATTCATGAGAAATGGCCAAGGGGTAGAAAGAGAAAAGAACTGCTGGACAATTTACAAGATGTGGAATTGTATGTTGAGATAAAGAAGACAGCAGATGATAGAGAGAGGTTGAGAAGGAGCCACTGCTACATTATATCATTTTTATGATGATTAAAACCTCTTTAAATATACTGTAATTAGTTAATGAGCTTCCAAGAAAACTTTATAAACATTCTGTTGATAACTGTCAAGTGTTTGTTTGTTTTGGAATTTCGCGCAAAGCTACACGTGGGCTATCTGCGCTAGCCGTCCCTAATGTAGCAGTGTAAGACTA